GCGTTAAATCCAAACCTCACCCCTATTTTTAGACCAAAACTATTTTGACTAAAATGATTTTGAAACCTTAAAACCCTATCTTTCAAAATATTTTTGAAACAAAGTTCCTACGATGTTCTAGGGCTCGCATTTCGTTAAATGTTACACTTTTCGGTAAACTGAGCAAGGACAAAATCGAATAAATGAAGGAGAGGTGAACTCTATGAAACAATCTTTGAAACACCTTATTTAGGGGTTTGGAGTTGAAGAAAATGGGAGAGGAGAAAAGAAACCTAGTTGGGGAAGAAGTTGGGCATGAACCGTTAAGAGAGAGTCGAGCAGCCCTCGCTAAATCGAGCCTATCCATTTGTACACGTGGACTTAGTTATGAGGCTACCACCGTTGGAAAGAAGACTTCTGGGGCTTCATTTTACACTCAAGAATCTCCTAAATCCGAGTTCAGATGAGGGAGATATGGCTGGTTGAAGTTAGGCATCAATCCGATTGAGCTGGAAATGACCAGTCTTCACTAAAAGAGGCATATCTTTTTGTACACTTGGAATTTTAATATGAGGCTACCACCATTGGAAATCTTACTTCAGGGGATTCAATTTAGACATAAGAATGACCTGAAAAGGAGTCCAGATGAAGGAGATATGCCCATTTGAAGTTGGACCTGGAAAGCAGATTTTGTTGTCGGCCACAAATGTGGGCTGTTAGCCACCAGGGGTGGCCAGTCGGCCAGAAAAGTGGCCGGTCGGCCGCTAATGTCCCAAACTCAGATATTTTGTAGATATTTACCTCCAGTTGTCTTCCACAAGCTCCAGCTGTCTCTAAATCAGATATTTCGACCTAAAGCTCATTTATCGCTATATATAGAGGCCATATCTCTCATATTGCAAGGTTAGCAAATTTTTGGAGCCTCTCTCTCTAAAAATCCTCTCTCTATATTTCTCTCTCTCTTGCCCTTTTGTGCATACAAGTAGAGATACACCTCTCATTTGCCTAGAGATCCTTAACCAAAGTTGCTTATCTTTGGGCTGAGATTACTTGAAGCCTTAGCAATGAGATTGAGCCATTAGTCCTAGTTGATTCTCTGCTGAAAATCTTTGGGAGCTCTTCCTCCAGTGATAAGGGGCAAGGTTGTTAAATTCGAAGCACTGATTCTAAATGGAAACCAGTAGAAGTTGTCAACTGTATTCCATGAATTGGAAAAGTTCATGTTGGTTTTTTTCAGTGTTTCATTTAAGATGATTGAATCCAAATTCGAAGGATGAGATTGTGGAGTTCGAAGCCCTAAATTTGCTTATAAAGATAAACAGAGATAAAGTCAAACCATGCCAAACAAAGAGAAAAGTCTTAGCTATATTGAAATAAAGGCAATTACATCAAAAGGCCCTCCTTGGGTACAAATTCGAGTTCATAAAAGTAAGGAATAGAATAAATAACAAGATCATGGAATTTAGTCCAGCTATGATCAATAAATTTCTGTTCCTTTTTTATTCTATCCTTTATTTTCTCCAGGCTTGGCTGCTGAAGTTGATGTGCTCTTACTTGATAGAAGAATTCTTCAACCTTTATTTCGAACGCTATTTCTTTTAACCCTTGTTCCAGCTCGTCCATATCCAAGTTATCCCAGTACGCTGAGTCTTTACTCTTGAAGTCATCGTATTCTTCGATAAGGTTCTCTGCTTCGCACTGGGTATGAACTTGAATGGATGAAAGTTGGTTCAAGGATTGGGTGGTGGCCACAGAAGTTCGGTGCCAATGGAGAAGCAACGGGAGTTGGTCCAAAAACATTTGGAGTTCTGCTTGGGCGATGGGGTTGAGGACGTAACCCCGAGTCATAATATCACAAGTCCATCAAAGGTTCTTGATAGGAACATCATTTTCAAGAATATTGAAAGGCAAGTGAGAAAAGGCCGCCAGCAAAAGTTGGGCTTGCTTTCGTTGAGCTGGAGTAGGGGAAGGTGGAGGCTTATAAGGAGGAAAAACCTTGTCCGCAGAAAGGGTAAGCCTCAGTCTCTGTGTCCAGCAGGGATTTTGCGGAGGAGGAGGTATAGAGGCTTCCATTTCGAAAGGAGGAGGAAACTGAGGGGAATTAACACAATCAAGCCAGTCAGAAGAGCAAAGCCTCGCCTTCTGGGCTAAGAACGATGGGTTATACCCTTGTGCCTTTTCTAGGCAAATTGTTTTCAAAAACTATTTTCATGAATTTTTTTTTTTCAAATGGACATTCAGTCGTTTGGTATTGCGCTTTTATTCTAGAAAACAGAAAAACAAAAACAAAAACTAGGAAACATGATTTGCAAACTATTTCCAAAAAAATGTTTTTGAAAAAATATTTTCAAAACAGAGCTATTTTTTAGGAAATACTTTTAAATTATTTTCAAAATTTTCAAAAACAAACTTTGATCAAAAATTAAACAATGGATGATTTTAATTTTTCTAAGTTCTCTTTTTTTTATAAAATAAATAAATAAATAAAATCAAAAATAAAATTTTGAAAACAATACCAAGCTTAGTATATTTAACCTTTTTTTTATATAAAAATATCGTTTTTCTTGTGAAGTTGTGAAATCAAAGTTATATGGAAAATCCATATAATTTTAAAGTTGTATAAAACATTCTTCAAGGTGTAGCATTTCGCGTCACCAAATTGTCCTTCAAAAAATTGTTTGAATTAGGTATCTTTTACAATTAATTAAGCCTCCAACTTAGGCGGCAGTAGTTGAGAAAATGATGATAGGTGGTGACAAGTGGCAAGAGTAAAAGGTGTGGTGGCAATAACAACGATTGGCAATGACAACAATTGTGATAGTGTAGTGGTGGGTTAATGCTGAGGACAACAGTTGTGTCATAGCAATGACAATGGTAACGGTGGTAGTGGTGGTGATTGTATGGTGTTGATTGTAGTAGTGGCCGTGGTGGCGGTGGTGGTGTACATGGACCGATGGCGATGGAAATGTGCATGGGAGCGGTTATGGTGGTGGTGACAATGATGATTGTGGTAGTGATAAGGTGAAAATGTTGGTGATGATGGTCATGACTACTAATGGACTAGCAGTTGTGGCAGCTAAGATGGTGTAGTGGTTGTGGTAGATCAGAAGCGAATGTAGCAGCTACAATGTTGTGGTTGTGCTGATAGTGGTAGGTTGGAAGCAATTTGGTAGTGGTGGGGGCAATTGTGATAATGGTAACATAGTGGTAGTTGGGTGATGGTGATGTCGACAGTAGCAAGGTGGAGGAAAAGATGGTAAAAATGGCAATGATGATGATGTTAATAGAATAACGATGGTGGCAGCAATAACAATACTGTGGTGGTGATGGTGGAGTTTATTGTAGTTGTGATGCCCTCAAGACAGATGGCGATGATCAATGTTAGGGTGTTAGGAAGCACACTACCCAGTTCTAGTTGGGGATCTCAGGGTGCTAGGAGCGGGAGATGTGAACAAGGAAGAAAGCAATTGTAAAGTGCTATAAAAAATCATCGGAAAGTCTATAATTGTAAAAGAATCTCAAGAGAAATCTGATTATGGTTATGAGAATCTCAATCCCGATCCAGATACAATGAAGTTTGGGCCCACTCAAAATGATGACAGCACATGTAACCCAGCATTAAGATTGGTTCCTAAGTTGATTTTTACACTAAAATAAACCCAAAAAAATACTACAAGCTTAACCCAGCATTAAGATTGGTTCCCAAGTATTAACCTTCGGCTGGGAACTTGGCTCCCATTTCAGTATAACCAGGGATTAGGACTAGAAAAACTGGCACCTTCAATTCCAATCAATTTTGTTTCAGCCAACCAAAAATCTAGGGTATTTTCAAGGCACCCACACACCACAACCAAATACTTCGATACTATAGATATGCACTTTTAACCTTTGAAATTCAGTAACCCACAATTTCTATTTTATCAACGAAAAAGAAGGGTGCCATGTGTGACACCAGGACCAAAGTCAAGTAAAATATGGTAGAGAATAGGCCAATTACCCTAGTTAACACCAAAAATAAAGACGTCTATTCCTACTTTGAAGTGTGCCAAATTTCAAAACTAAACACCATGTTCGAAAAGGCAAACACCTTGAAATTCCAAGATCAATCAGTCCTGAATTATGAATTATTTTATCTTCCTCCTAACTTTGGCTATGGTAATTTAAATTCCCAAAGTAAAAAGTGCATACAAAAAGAAAGTTTTAAAAAGCTCAGGTTTCAAATCAGACCAATGCAAAAAAAAAATGTTCCTAATACCACAATAATGAGGCATGCACACTATTGTCACAGATCCCGAGGATACTAACGATTGTCATTACAGGAAAAGGGTATAAGAACCTAAACAATATTCAAGGGATGCCAGGATTTCTGTAGGGGAAGCAAAACTTTTAAGTGCGGCTGTCAAGATGGCTTAACTCGGGATGTGTCTAGACTCTAGTAAGGTCATCCAATGACCTATGAACCCGGCTCATACATAATGCACCAACCACCCTTCGACCAAAAGCAGGGAAGACGATGAATAAAAATCAAGGCTTTTTCCCTTTTAACAAGAAGCCTATAAACAAAGAACTGATGAACAAACAAAGACTTACTGAACATTCATTCCCAGAATCTCTGCTTACTGATTGCAAAAACATTGACCTTAGCTATGTTGTAGACCAAAATTTATACCTAGGCAAATGTGACTCATTTCTGCCTTATCAGGGCTCACTACATGTACCTCCCAAAATGACCAAACAAGTGGGCTGAACCGAACCAAGCCAAGATGAGAAAGAAGAGGAACTTTTCCAAAGGGAAGGGGTCCAATTACCTTGGAGATAGAAAGGGATGATAGATAGAGAGCATTTACATATTATTGAAAAGAACATTCCTTCCATCAGCTTCAATACCTTTGTGCCAAAAGAACTTTGGGCAGCGCATAAAAAAGCATCCAAATCCTATTTTTAATTAACCAAATCTCCCCTGGCTAAACTTTTGCTGGTGTCCACACCTCAAGTTAAAAATGTCAATAGAGTTAGCAAAATTTCAGAAAGGATAATGATGATGTAACTGTCCAAAAGCTGACCACTCTAATAGATCTGTATCAACAAAGCCAACATAGAATTCTAAATTAGATGGTAATGAGCCTACATGTGTCCAAAGTAGTGTGCATCTTAATATATCCAGCACTTCTAGGTAAATAAAAGATGATAAACTAGATGTATACTAAACCAAGTTGGTACAGAATAAGTACTTAAAATGAAAGCCTACCAGGATCACCTAAGTCAATATACGCCATCTTATATACACCTTTACCTCAACAGCATGCACGTCTTGTTTTAGTGAACTCTTTTCCGCTTGCGGTAACGATAACCTTCTCCATAGTCCTCTGAGCCACTGGCCATCTGCCACCTGTCATTATACATATCGTCACTACTGGGCTTTGTGTTGTGCCTAGAGTGTCTGGATATGTGACTGGGGTCTTTGTCTTTATATTGCTTTTTCTGATCAACCGAAGAGCATGGTTCTAAACCAGATCCTGAGTGGCTGTGATGTTTCCGATTGGGTTCGATGTCAGACTCAAGCCTCTTTCCTCGATAATCTTTTTCTTTTTTAGTCTGATGATGGCTCCTACTAGAATCACTGCCACACTTCCCCTTACTTTCACGCTGTTTGGAGCTTCTACGAGGATGTTTATGCCTCTCTTCATTCCGCCTGTCAGAACTATTGGGCATATCTTCAACTCCTGAATTTGATCTCTCTTGATGATATGGCTTCCGATCAGATCGGTCTCTTCCAGCAATTGTGGAACATAAATTCTTCTCGTGTCTTTCATCAACAGCATGGTTGTCATGATCTAAATATGCTGATATTTCCTCTGTGATACACGAGTAAAGCTGTCTTCAGAGTAGCTTGCACTCTTTTCCCTCTCTACACGAGATTTAAACTCGTGATCTTTCTGGCACATTACAGTGATATCGCTTATTGTAACCGTCATCTTCATCATCATAAGATTGTCGTCTGGTAAACATAGCTTTCATTAGAAATCAGGAGTGCTCATATATAGAAATTCCATAAAACAAAATGAACAGAAGCACGGAACCAACAAAACGCGCCACCAGAGTGTGAGGAGGGGGTATTTTAAAAGGAGTAACAATACCAACCATAAGAGAGTACATTCAAAATCAGATAATTTACATTTCAGAACATGATAATGCTAGAGAAAAGAAGACAAAATAAGGCAGGCAAAAAAAGCAACAAGGAAGTTCACAGTAAAATCAACATCTAAATCATTGAAGACCAATATAATGAAAGCAAAGACACCATAAGAAATAAGGCACATGAAATTCATGAACCACGATATGTCCAAGAACACTCTCCTCTCCCATCCCCTCTCAGGCACCCATAAAGAGAGAGGAGATATGATTCAAAAAGTAAGAGAAGAAGGGGGGTTGGAAAGAGGTTAGAAATAACTAGTCCATGAGATTGGACCAGCAATTGACCATGAAAAAGAGGAGACTCTTTAAAAAAAAAATTTGCAAATTTAAGGCTAAAAACGCAGATCTCTTGTATAAATAATGCTAGTAGAAAAAAGATGCAAACTGCCTTATCAAATACCAAAAAGAAATGAAATAAAATAGGGTGCCATTATTTCCAATTAAAGACATTTAGAAGCAAGTGTTAATCTAATTTATTTTGAAATATATTTTCACAAATTTAAACTAAAACAATGTATATACATATATATCATTAGCCACATCAAGCATGTCCAGCTTCCCCCACAAATGCAAATGCTGCAGACTACAAAGTTATTGCAAACTTCTTGCTTCCAAATACTAATGAAGCAAATGTCATTAAAGAAGTGAAAGGCACAAAAATTTCCAAATTATCTTGGAGAAGAACATCTCCATTCCTGTGTCATGAAGCAAATGCATCAAAGTTTCAACAATGTAGTGGGATGTAGATAACATAACAAATCTATTAATATTAGGAGGTGCAGCACCCTTCCTAATAGTTGGGGATGGTTGGCAGACCAATGTTTTGATATGTCAATTTTACCCATGTCATTTATTCTAGCAATAAAAAGGACAACACTTCTTAAGTAATTTCAACAAATTTTGAATATACCACGTCTTTTATAACTCCTCGCCACACTCCAATATTCATGCTACTTTATCTTTAGAGGTCTCATCACGTGCATGGGTGTGCACCATGTCACATGTGCATCACATGTGACAATCTCTCCAGTGGAAGAGAAAATAAGCATATAAACCATTTAACTAATGACATGAATTCTACCCCAATCCCCACGCGGTGTGTGTGTACTGAATTGACACCCTCCATCCACACTGTTATTTTTTTGGTATCATTAAAGATTACCTCCCCAGATTCTCATTTGAAAGCTTCCATCTGTTTTCACAATCTCGAAGCTGCATATTTTCTGAATGGGTTAGAGGACGTTCTGAACCAGTTTGTACTTCAGGTGCCAACATACCTCCCATCCTCATGAATCCACTGTAAGATGTTATGTACTTTCAGTGTCAAAAATTTACACATGAATATCCACAAATGTATACATATATTTTGATATGACAAAGCAATATTTTCCATAGAGGAACATGTTAATCAGAAGCAGTCTGTTGAAGCAGCAAGTTATACATGTGCACACAAAAAGATATATTTTATCATGCACCAGACTTGCCTGGGAACAGGTAAGCCTCCATACATATATGGCATATATGGAGGAACTGCAAAAGGTGAAGAAGGGACCATTCCAGAATTGAAAGGCATCATCCCAGAATTGCCATACATATTAGTGAAGGGCCTGATGGGGGGTAATGGATTGCTATTCCAGCAAGGTGAAGCATAACCTGACATAGCTCCTGGAAACATAGAATTTCCTGAAATTCCAACAATAATAAGGCCACAGACAAGTCTTTCACAATGTCAATGCATATACATGCAAAAGCAGACAAGGCATACACAATCTTTACCTGTTTGAAGCATAGGGTATGGGCTGGAAGCAGCTGGACAGTCTCTTATGAAATGGTCTGGAGAACCACACATGTAACAGGTATGATCCCCCTGATCTCCAACAAATGTAGATCAACATTTAGAAATATCTCTCACAGACAATGGTTAAAAATCTGTAAACCATACAACCACCCACCACCACTGTTACCATCCATAGCCATCCCACTGCTGCCATCATCAGTGGCCAGTGCAAGCCATGGCCACCGCCAACACCACATCACCACCCACCCACCCCCCATCACCACCTCTGTCAAAAGCTAAATCAGTCCACCCATCTCACCAAAACCATAACTTTAGCGAACTACAAGTGAAAAACCAAACTGCCCCTCAGAAAACATCATTGTCACAGTGCAAGTCGAAATTGTGCCCTGATGCAATGCTAGGGTAACACTGTTCAGCACAAATGAAACTGTGTATAGCACAACACAAATAATAATTCTGCCACTCCCACACAGTTCTCACTAGCACCAAGCAAAGTTCTTATTTGCACTAGACAGACAGTGTTACACTTGCACAGGGGCATTGTTTTCACTTGCACCTGTGCAAGTAAACCGCTCTCGTCCTCCCCAACCCCGATCCAAGCCACCTGCCACCCCTTCTCCCTCCATCACCATCCCAATCTTGCACCATCTCTTCAGCAGCTACCCCAGCCCCTCACACAAACAAACCCTATGCCCACCCCCTTCAAAAACCATAACCATACCCAACTTTCCCCAACCCCTTTTGTCATTCTCTAATGGTGGATGGATGGAAGAGACAGAAAGAGGGATGAAAGCAGCTAGTGGATAGTGGAGCAGATTAGTGTTGGAGGTTGGATCTGGGTCATGAGGGTGGAGGCCATCGCTAGAGGTGATGGCCTAGGGGTAGGGGGCTGCCATGGTTCTGGAGAGGGAGGGAGAGAAGAAAAGGCGTGGGAGCTGTCATGGATGGTTGTTATGGGTGACGATGGGGGTATCAGTAGTGGCCATTGGCGATGGCCGCCGTGGCATTGGCTTGTGGTGGTGGATGTGGACATCTGGTTTGGGAAAAGAGCAATTTGACCCAAAAAATAAGATACATGTCTTTTGCTATTATTTTCACCTATATTCTATTTCCTAAAATTTCAAACCACCTCATATTTTCTGAAATTTCAAAAAAGTGTCCCACCGACTTGTTAATATTTGCCCTGTTTACCACTGATTTAATATCTTCCCTTTTAATAAAAGGTGGCATAATTACTAGTTAATTATAAGAACAGAAAAACCATTCCTCAAATGCTTACCTTTTTGTGTCTACCAGTAGCCATAAAATTCCTGTCTCCACCTGAAAAGCCATTGTCATCATCAAAACAGATCAAATTTAGATGCACAAATTATGTCCGTCCACGAGAGGTTCAGGTTGTGCAAAATAAACTGTAAAAGTAGATTCTACCTCCAGTGTTAACCCACAATCCCCTCTTTTTGTTGATGGTAAAATCAACTGCAATGACAAAACCAAGAAACAAGCACATCTGAGTTTCAAACTAAGGAAAAATAATTATAACAAAGACTACATAAATACAATCATGAATAAAGTATTTGAATTCTAGTTGAGTAAGCTGAATAGCATTAACAATTGAAACCTATGAAACACAAACACTTTTAAGGTGTCATGTTGAACACCAACACAACACTCATCGGGCACTTCTCAAAACCTGTTGGACACACATCCAACCATATCCTATTATTTAAAAAAAAAAAATCTAGATTCAAATACACTTCAGAGACTTGGGAAACGCAGGTGCCTATCGCTCAAACACATGAAACACGTTACAAGTTTGAATAAGACAATTAGAATCCAATGACAAGAAAAACAATTTAAATCTATAAAGCACATCTGAGTTTCAAACTAAGGAAAAATAATTGCAACAAAGACTGCATACATACGATCATGCATAAAGTATTGGAATTCTAGTTGAGTAAGCTGAATAGCATTAACAGTTGAAACCTATGAAACACAAACACTTTTAAGAAGGTGTCGTGTCGTGTCGTGTCGAACATCAACACAACACTCATCAGGCACTTCTCAAAACCTATTGGACACACATCCAACCATATCCTCTTAGTGAAAATAAAAATAAAAAAAAAATCTAGATTCAGATACACTTCAGAGACTTGGGAAACACAGGTGCCTATCGCTCAAACACATGAAATACATTACAAGTTTGAATAAAATAATTAGAATCCAATGATTAAAAAAAACAACAATTAAAATCTATAACTATCCTCCTCCTTCAGAGTTTAAACTTTAGAAAATAGTGTTGCATTGCATTTTGTTATTATCTTTAAATTAAGCATTATATACATGACATATAATATTATGCTTATATCCAACATATAATAAATATATAAAATCATATATTTTGTGTGTGTCCCCACGTGTCATGCCCTATATTTTTTGAATTTATTTTTTCCCACACTTTAGTGTCATGTCATGTGTCCGTGTCCACACCTCATAGGTTGGAAACATTATTTAACAGTAAACAAATCATAGTCATAAAATTGTAGTGTTGCAAAGATCAAGCCAAGTTCATGAGCCAGTACCTTCCTCGTGCACATGACTTTGAGGAAAATTGTGGGGCTGACTTTCCCATTGAAAATCAGGACAAGCCTCCAAATCGTCTCCACTTGGAAAAACCTCATGATGAGCATATCCAACTCTTTCTCCATCTGTTTGTTTCAACTTGTGTGATAAGGAGCTGATTTCAAAGCTTTACTCGAACCCAAGTTACTGGTATGAGAACCAGAGCCCCCTAATGACACATTCTTTCTGATTCACGACTCATAAACAGATTCTGTCATAATTTGATTGGAGCCTTTTTCTGTTGCAGAGGGAGAAAGTGGCATGTTTGGCTCCCTTTGAAGGATAGTCACAGCACAAGAAAAATCTTTTGCTTGAATTCCAGATTCACCATCTGTGTTTGAATTTTTTTAAAGTTATAAACCTCCAGTGTTTTTCTTTATTTCTTTCAAGCATCTTAATATTAATTTACACACCTGGGGCATATTTATGCAAAGCATTGTCTGCATCACTCATAAGGATTTGAGACTCGAGGAAATGCTCTATTGCTTGCCTAAGAGATAAATTTGATAGCAAATCTTCAACCTTACATTTGCTAGAATAACATTTGGGACACTTTGCCTTCTCCTGTAGGACTGCACGGATACCTGCACCAAACCATAGACAAGATTTCAGCTGCTTATAAAAGATAAAATCACTGTCCTCTCTCATGCTTTCCAAACAAAAAATTAGCTGTAAACATGTGTGCATGAAGAAAGATCAAGTTCAGTACTATTTTCAACAGTTTTAAGTGTTCACTGTTGTTAGAGTCATCATTCAAACAAAGATGTCATTGGATGCCTGCAAGTTCAAGGTCATAAACATGTTCTTAACATTAAGAAAATGACAATGTGTATATGTTCAATCTAGCTTACTATGACTTGCGGAGCTTACATTTTTCACAAAAACTATGCTGACAGCATGGTATCATTACAGCCTCCTTGAAAAATGTGTTGCAGAGAGAGCATTTCAGTTCTGATGGAAAATCAGCATTTTGCACGGCTAGACAATTGGCAACCATCCTTTGATTTCCATGGTGACGAAATATCAGATCTGTGAAGCCGAAAAACATAAGAGGAATGAACAGAAATGCATGAGAAATATTACTTTTCCAGTTTCATGGGTTCTTCGCCATTCAGTTCCACTTTTGTCTGTGAAGTATTTCTTTCTGTGACATTATGATTAGGACCTGACATTATGTTGGAGCATGTTAAGTCTAAAAGTGTAAATACACAAGCAATAAATATACAAGGCAACAGTATCAACCTCTAGGAATAGCCTCACTAAGGTCACTTGCTTCAAACATTTGACAACCTACCCTGCTGCACAACAAAAAGCTTCTGAAGTAATAACAAAATATGATAAGTCATGAAAACAAATATCTAATTCAAACAAACGCAACAATTCGAATCCACCAAAAACTTCAGTTTTGTATGAACAAGAACAAGCATTGAAGCTAAGACTGTAAAAATAGGCTCTAGCAGATATGAAAATTTTAAATCCTGGAAAGCAGCCGCACACTTACTATTTTTGCATAAGAACAGTTTATTTTCTACAATTCCTTTCAGTTAAATTTAATTTGGTTTAATTCTATCGAAACAAAATCCACCAAAAACATCAATGTTTATGTACAACAAGAAGCATTGAAGCAAAGAAAAGAAAAACCGCCTTTTTCAATAGAAAAAAACAAAAAAAAAAAAAAAAAAAAAAACAGACTGGCCAATTCGGAAACTTCAAATCATGGAAAGAAGCAGCACACTTACATTTTTGCATGAGAACAGTGCACCTTTATTTCTCCCCTCAGTTTTAATATGATTTAATTCTACTAAAACATTCCAAATATTGCGAAACACTCACAGCTTAATTTCATGCATACAAGATGATGTTAAAGGAAACCGAAAAAGCACTACCAAGCTGGAGAACATGCAATGCATTTTTATGAAAGTAGTTCTCATGTGGTATGATACATTACTGATCAACAAGCCACTTTGAATCATAAATGCTTCATATGAGAGAAAAAAGACACAAAATCCTAACACACACACACACAGATCTTCTTAAAGTTTCAAAGATTGCTGATTCAACTGAAGCAAAACTCAAAATTCTTCACTTAAACCAAACTAAGCCTTGTGTCCCAATCAAGTGGTGACTAGAGTATGCAAAAAAGTATTTCATTATGACCTTTGTACAACTATAATTCGAAGTATGAAAGATTTCAAGTGACAAATTTTACATTGTTATTTCAAATCAATTGAAACTTATCATGGTAAAGCTCTCAAATTCAATCTTGAAATCAATTTCAAAACAATCATGTATAAATTTGAGTTATACTCCTTGGATGATTGTTGTCCAAATCCTTTCATTTCAAATCTATAAATTTCCAGACGCACCTAAAAGTTTTTGTAATGTAAAAAATAAAATTGTTGTATATGCTAATTTATTGTCGTATCCCTACAGTGTCGTGTCTTGATGTTTTTGAAAATTGTCAAGTCAGGAAGCACGTATTGTGTCATATCTGTGTACATATCATATATGCATCTTAGGAAAGAAATTTCTTCTCTACGTGATAACAGTCTCCAATTGAAATGCAAAGGTTGAAAGGTTCTTTCATATCATGTCTTTAGAGCTTTTGATATTTATAAATTAATCACTTTAATCTGCCAGATGAATTAAACATTTAATTAGTATCTAGTAAACATATCTAATACTTGGCAAAGAAAATTACAACTCAACCACACTTCATTACATCCATTTCAACTAAGAAATCATGATCCAACAATTTTGTTGTATAAAAACGTATATGTTCTTAACCCAATCATAACTCAAACCATTCCCAATGTGCAAGCTATGTACAAATAAAAACACTCTGGTTGTGGAATATCCATATAACTCAAGGAATGCAACAACACAACCAAACCTAATCAATACAGAAAAAGTGGAAAAGAAAAATATAAGTAAAACACAGAATCTAATGGCTGAGTGGTGTCAGTGTCTTACCCTTATACTATTATATGTAGCAAGTTACAAATACAAGCCAACTGCACAGCCAGCAGATATATATATATATATATACATAATAAAATAAATAAATAAATAAAAACAAGAGCACAGTCATACCTGGGGAGGGCATTTTTTGGCTTCTCATTGCTAATACAGTAGTTCTTATCAAATTCAAGATCAGAGTCAGATAAGGCTGCCTCAGGAATGGGACACAAGTCAACTCCAAAGTCATCAAAGTTGTCCATTTCTGAATTCTATTAAAATTTTAAAAAGTCAAAAGTAGAAGGAGATAAAAATTAGGATAACAAGCAGAAACATTAATAAGGTCACAAGATATCATGTAATGCCCATGGGCTTTCCTGAAATAAAATAGCAAAAAGATAAGTCATAGGAAGTCAGAGGAAAACACCAGAAAGGCCCGTCCAATGCAAAAGCCACGTTCCGCCTTTAAGATTACATGTTATGAAGCATGAATACTTTTAAAAGGGTGTCGTTTGATATGTATACATATATGATATACACAAAAATATTACCTGTAACCTGCTTTTAAAAAAATTCATGCTAATGTATCCGTATCGTGCCGTACTCATATCCTACATCCTTATTCATGCTTCATACATTACATTTAAAGGTGCTTAAGTTGTACCAATATCCTATCCCCAGGGTGTTGACACAAATTTCGCAAGTGCAACTGAATTTCGAAACTTCAGTCCACAAACATCTACAATGTTGATTGTTTGTAGGCTCTCATTTCCAATCTGGTGCTCCAAATCATTAATTATTTGCTTTAAAAAAAAAAAAGCAACATCTCCAATTAATAGTGAACATAAATTAACATAAAAATAAATATTTAAAAGGAAATATATTTAAGTAGTACAAAAATTTAATTGACATCATACAATACAATAAAAGGGTTTGCAATCCTTTTTATCTATAGTACTCCATTTTCGCCATGTTGAAGAAAAGCACAGACAATAAATTTGATTTCATTAAAGAGTGCAGAAGAGCTCCACATGACAGAAGCTTAGCAGATAATTTGAATTTAAACCGATTTATGAGAACATAGTTTAAATTTAAACGCAATGTTAACAAATCCAATATTTCAAATTTAATATTAAATCTTCTAGAATTGTCCTCTGCAGCCTTTTCCACAGTAGGCCCTGCACTTGTTGTCCCTTGATTGATTCCATTGTCCCTTGAATTTTGCGGTCCCCACATGGCGTTTGTATAGTTTAGGTCCAAGGTTCTGAGTTCAAAGCATCATTAGCCTATTAAATTCTGGTTAATCCACAAACGAATCTTAGCCCGACCTTAGGTTCCTTAGTAATTATGTAGTTAAAAATTTACGTGCCAAGTGCCAAGATAGGTTGGGTCTATATTTAATCCACCCCTTCCAGCATCCTTAGTTGACAGTGACCAAAATTAAGTTATGTCCTCATAGTTTTTCCCCTCAAAACTATGAAAGAATGTAAAACTAGTGTTCTAACTTGAAAGGAGTAATAATGGATATAGCTATATTAGGACATTCCGGAAGACTTCTCTTACCAACAATGCTAACCTAAATCTTTGAAGACTTTTAGTTGTCTAGAAGAGCATGGGGTGAAATATACAAGTGTAACCAAACCAATCTTTGTGTCCCACTCAAGTGGGATCGGCTACAACATTCTGCTCTGTCAAGGGATATTCGTTCAATGAAATATATGTGTGTGTGTACTTTAGTGTCACATACCAAGGGAAAATATCCAATGGGATTAACGGGGTTGGTGTCTTTCGCCCCCAAGTTCTCAATTGAATTGATGGGTGCCCTGCAAAACAGTCATTACATGCAGAAGTCATTATACTGATAACGATAGGAACCACATGCAGTCAGATTCTCTGCTAGGATGTTCCATTCCAAACCATAAATACAAAAATAAACAAAATATAGAAAGAAACCCAAAAAAGCCACCCATATTTTACTTGATTACCAGTTAATATGACAGGATTCACATTCTATATGATCACAGATATTTAATTCTATATTTTGCAAGGAAATTTATTCACTCAAGTAAACAAAACTAATACTTTAGTATATAATGAGAGCGCCAAGCCAATAGCATAAACGTACCCTTTTGCTCTCTCTCTCTCTCTCTCTCAATAAAAACAGAGTTGAAGCTGGACAATGAGGACACAGTGAAGTAGTACAAGGAGCAGCAGCACCTGATGAAGGGCATTCTGACTACTGTTGCACCTTAAGCGTCACCATCCTTCCATTGCCGCCGACCATGGTTAGAAAACAAGAAGAATAAGAGACTCACCTGACTTTGACGTACCCGACAGAATACCGGTATCACCAAAATTGACCGAAATTCTCTAGTTTTGAAATGGTATTTGATCTAGTGTGAAATAATTCATTGATGTTAAAAATCCTTATATGGCCACAAATTAAACTTTCCAAAATTGCATGAATCAGAATATCATCAATAGCACTCAAATGACACCAAAATAAAAAGTTTTTAAAACTTCTAAAGGCCTGGATGGATTACAACCTAAGATAAGCCTTCTATCTAAAATAGTTCCCAAAAAGAGAAACTTCTAACAATAAATAGTTCCCAACAAATGAAATATCCTAGACAACTAGAAGAATAGGAAAAAAAATAAAACCAGTCACCACAATTAAGGATCCTAATATCATGGAACAAAAAACGCCCGTCATATAATGGAATGTTAGGCCCTCGTTTCCAACAGTATTAAAATATCACATAAGAAACGGCCGTCAAGGTACGCTACTCTTCCGTTATAAAATATGAAAATACACAGAAAAAATTAACTTACCAAATAACTGTCTACGTGCACCATAAAGTTTCTATGAAATTTAACAATACCGAACGCTTTGTGGTATAACTGACCCTGGCGTCGGCTAGCACGTTTCAATGCAGAAAATCGCAGGTCTCGCAAAGTACTCCGCCACCCTCTCATATTAACAACACCCTTATTGAAATGAAGAATTTGTTGAATTGGCTACAGATTCTGGAGGTCACCCCATGTGAAAGGGGTGATCCTCATGTCAACAATGGAAGGCCACCAACCTCATGTAAAGTCAAAGAATGAGGGCTCTCCCACCTACTCCTTTGTGTATAAATAGAGACGGGAGGGAGAGGATATAGATATCAGATGTGGAGCTGAGAGGTGTGAGTTGAGAGCAAAGAGAGAGAGAATTACAGAGAGTGTTGTAATTCACCATTTTGTTCAATATAGTGAATCCGCTGCCCGTGGACGTAGGCGACTTGCCGAACCACGTTAAAACTTGTGTGTTATTGCTTGTTTGAGTTCCCTGGTGTGCCCCCGATCCTCAACAATTGGTATCAGAGCTCGGGTTGCGAAAAAATCAAATTTTCCCGAAAGTGTCCAGATTTTGAAGTACTCAAAATCCACTTTTGACCATACCAGGAGGAAGAACTCCCAGAGAGGAGTCCAGAACAGCAAAAACAGAGGCCAGAAGCCTCCACACGCGCCCTCACGCGCTCTCTGAACAAAGCGCGTCAGCCCCAGTCGCACCACGCGCCACTACGCGCCGTTCAGGCAACCGGCGCGTGATCCCAGTCTCACCCACACGCCACACGCGCGTCTCCAAGAAGAAGACGAGCCACGTGGCACCACGTCAGCGCCACGCCAGCACCGCGTCAGCGCCACGTCATCCGCCACGTCAGCACCCCGTGTCCGACAGTCAGCCACGTGTCAGCCCAGTCAGCCTGAGCCGCTGACCAAGCCGAGCCGTTGAGCCGGAGCCGCGTTGACTGCGCCGCCGATCCTCCGTTGACCGCGCCGTCTGCACCGTTGATCGAGCCGTTAACCAGCCGTTGACCGGAGAAATTATCCGGTGCATGTCAGCGCACCAGATTCTGCAGATCTGACCCGTCCAAAGTGTTTTTGCCAGATCGGAGCCATTCGGAGTCCATTTTTTACGATCCAATAGTGCTTCCCAACTATTTGGAGTGTTCCGGACACATCTGTACGGTCAGTTTTTTGAATTGAAGTTATTAAAAAAAAAATGGCAGACTCTAGATCAACCAAGTCCGTAAGTAATTCAGCCAGTACAAGCACTTCTAGGCATTGGACCCCGGTGTCCCATGCCAAGTTCGAGGTAGAGAAGTTCGATGGCAGCAGCAACTTCGGCATGTGGAGATGCGAAGTTAAGGATATGCTTGTCCAAATGAACCTGCACTTCACTCTGGGAGACAAACCAGATGACCTGGACGAGATAGAATGGGAGAGGGTGAATCTCCTGGCTTGTAGTTCCATCCGACTTTGCCTTGCAAAAGAGGAGAAATATGCCTTTACAGAATATGATATTGCGAAGAAGCTTTGGAAGGCGCTGGAAGATAAGTTCATGACAAAGAGCATTGAGAACCGGCTCTACTTGAGGAAGAGGTTGTTTCGTTTCGACTACATTAAAGGTCTTTCGATGAACGAACACCTAAATAACTTCAACAAAATTATTACGGATTTGAAGAATTTGGATGATCACGTTGGTGATGAAGACAAAGCACTGTTATTGTTAAATTCCTTGCCTGACTCGTATGATCATCTCACTACTACTTTACTGTACGGTAAAGAGAAGATCAAGTATATTGATGTTGCAAACGCCTTGGTGAACAATGAGTTCAGAAGGAAAGATAAGTCTGCAAACAGGGACTCAACATCCGAGGCATTAACAGTCAGAGGCAGAACAAATAACAGAAGAAATACAAGGCGAGGAAAGTCTCGCTCAAAATCCAGGGGGAAACCTTCAGACAAAAGACGTCTTGCAAAAGACGAGTGTGCGGCTTGTCACGAGAAGGGACATTGGGCAAAAGATTGTCCAAATAAAGACAAGACAGAAGAGAAGGTGAATATTGCACGAGATGTAGATAATGATGAAGGAGGAGCCTTCACAGTTTCATCATATGGCCAGTCGGATGAATGGATAATAGATTCCGGATGTTCATTCCATATGTGTCCTAACAAGCAGTGGTTCTCGAGCTTACGAGAGTTCGATGGAGGAGTTGTGCTGATGGGCAACGACCAAGCTTGCCAGATAAAGGGGATTGGAACAATTAAACTGAAGATCCATGATGGAACAATCAGAATTCTTGAAGATGTACGGTATGTACCAGATCTAACCAAGAATCTCATCTCAGTGGGAGGTTTAGACTCCAAAGGTTACAAAGTAACCATGGAAGGTGGAGTCCTTAAAGTTATTCGAGGAGCATTGGTTGCAATGAAGGGTACTCGATAGGGAAATTTATATTTCCTAGATGGCTCTACAGTCACAGGGAAAGTGGCTGTCTCCACCAGTTCCAGCTCAGAAGATGATGCATCAGACACTTCCAAACTTTGGCACATGCGCCTAGGGCATGTCGGTGAGAAGGCTTTACAAGGATTGGTAAAGCAAGGCCTGTTGAAAGGCGCCAAGACGGGGAAGCTTGAGTTCTGCGAGCATTGTGTATTGGGCAAGCAAACAAGAATCAAGTTTGGTACTGCAATTCACCGTACCAAAGGGATTCTAGACTACGTCCACACTGATGTATGGGGTCCTTCCAAGACTGCTTCGTTGGGAGGTAAACACTACTTTGTGTCGTTCATTGATGATTTCTCTAGAAGAGTTTGGATTTATACAATGAAACACAAAGATGAAGTCCTAGACATCTTTCTTACGTGGAAGAAGATAATTGAGACCCAGACAGGCAGACGGATCAAGAAGCTTAGATCTGACAATGGTGGAGAATATACATCAGATACCTTCTTTGAGGTTTGCCAGAATGCAGGGATAGTAAGACATTTCACAGTTCCTGGAACACCGCAGCAGAATGGAGTTGCAGAACGCATGAACCGCACTTTGGTGGAGAAAGTCCAGTGTATGCTGTCACAGTCTGGATTGAGCAAGGCATTTTGGGGCGAGGCATTGAACTATGCTCGTCATCTTGTTAACAGACTACCTACTGCAACATTAGATGGGAAGACTCCCATGGAGGTATGGTCAGGAGTCCCAGTTACTGATTACGATCAGTTACGTATCTTTGGATGTCCAGCATATTTTCATGTTACAGAATCTAAGTTGGATCCAAGAGCCAAGAAAGCCATCTTCTTGGGCTTCGGTGACGGTGTCAAGGGATACAGACTGTGGTGCCCTGAATCAAAGAACGTTCTCATCAGAAGAGACGTTACCTTTGATGAGTCTGTAATGCTGAAGCAACCAGATCGTCAACAGAATGAGGAAGCATTGAAGAAGTCAGTGCAGGTGGAGTTTGAGACTCCAGCAAAGACTAGTCAGCCAATCAACCATCCTGAAGAAGTCTCAGAGGATAGCTCTGAAGAGAGTTCAGATGAAAATGAAGATCCAGAGGCTCCGCAACAATCAGAACCCATTGCAATCAGGAAAGGAAAAAAGGTTACTAAGCAACCTAGTTGGATGACCGATATGGTAGCCTATGCACTTCCAATCATTGAAGACAATGTTCCTTGCGCTTTCAAAGAAGCCGTGCATAATGCAGAAAGTGTCAAATGGAAGGAGGCTATGGATGAAGAGATCGGGTCACTTCACAAGAACCAGACTTGGGAGTTGGTGCAACTTCCAAAAGGCAAGAAAGCAATTGGGTGTAAGTGGGTTTACACCAAGAAGGAAGGCATTCCAGGCAGAGACAACATCAGATTCAAAGCTAGATTGGTAGCTAAAGGCTATGCTCAGAAGGAAGGAATAGACTACAATGAGGTATTCTCACCTGTTGTGAAGCACACGTCTATTCGCATCTTGTTAGCTTTGGTTGCACAGTTTGATCTCGAGCTC